CAGGTATGTGTCTGGGCAGGGCCCGAGGAAGCAGCACCCGCGGCACCAAACTTTTCCAAGGGCATGGGAGCGACCGGAAAAACTTCCTGGTCCGGGGCTGTGCTGGAGCGTGGGATGGGAGGTGGCTCTGAGCGGCCACTGGGACCTTTCGGGGTGTCACCCACAATGGAGGGTGCTGGGGGGGACGCAGAGGCTGCAGAAGGGGATGTTGGTGGCGGTGGCAGCAGTGCAAGCTCTCAGTTTCATTTCATGGCCTCCTCCATCCCCACGTGCCTGGCTGGGGCTGCGCCATGCATCCGACAGGACTGTGCCCGCTGGGGACAGAGCCAGGGGCCCGTGGGAAGCATCCCCATGCCAAAGGGGAGGTGAGTGGGCAGAGGGTTAAGGCACAAGGGGCTCGGGTTGTGGCCACGGTCTCTTCTCCAGCCCCAAAGCTGAGAGGCAGAGTATGGTCACGTCCATATGGGACACGTCCCCTCCAGCCAAATGGTCACAAGGATGTGCTCCTGGGCATTGCAGAGCCACAGCGAAGGCAGGGAACAGGCAGGATACAGGCACTGCCTGCCTGGCTTTACTGTGGATGGGCATTGTGGCCCATGGAGAGCCTATGAGGCTGTGGGGTGCTTGGCTGAGGGATGGAGGCATCCCTCATGTCCATGCTGGGCTTGAGGGGACACTGAGATGCAGGATATGCCCTTGCTCATGCCAGCTGCTGCCAGCCCTGTCTATCTCTGTCTGTGATGGTTAGGGATGCTCCCTGCGGGATGCTCCCAGCATCCCACTCCCCAGCAGCATCACTTATTGGGGTAGGGACACACAGGAGACATCCATGCCTTGTCCCAGCCCTTTGGGCTCACCGAGAGTGTGAGGGGATTTGTTGTGGGAATGGGGCTGGAGAAAGAAAGCAGAAAGTGGGGAAAAAGAGACAAAGCAAAATACTTTCGGTCCGTGTGCCCTGAGAAATACCAGCACACTTCTGAAGCCAGCCATTGCCCCTCCTCAGCTGAGAGCCGGGGTCCCCCTTCTCAGGGCTGGCTTGGGCAATCATTCCACCCTGCCACCCCCCAGAAGGGCCCCTCTGAAACCCAGAGGGCACAGGGTTCATTTTTTAGCTATTTAGCAGAAATACCTTTATTTTGGATGTTTCCAGGAGGAGAAGCTCTTTGGGTACTGGCCTCTTCTGCAGAGCAGCGAGAGCTGCAGAAAAGCCTAAAGTGAAGTGTTTCGGTGCTTGCTGCTGGGCTGGGATGGGGGAGCTGCTGGTTTTGCTTGATCGTGTTGCTGATTGAGCCTGGTTGAACTGGAAACACTTGTCTAGCACACTGCAATGCTGGGCAGCTGCAATGTGGATGTAGTCTGTGGGCTGGCATCACTGAGGGATGGAGCATCCATGATATCGCTTGCAGGGATGGCCTCATCTTCACCGGCATGGCTGGAGACAGGATGGGGAGAGAGGGGTGCTCTGGTTGTCCCTGCTTCAGCCAGCCCTTGCAGCCTGCATGAGGAATGGTCCTGGCTAAAAAGAGCATCACTTGCAGGGAGCTGACCATCAAGGTGTTCTTGCAAAGGATGTGGGTTGCTGCATGGTCCTCCCTGTGCAGCCCGAGACACTGCTGTGAAACAAACCCCCAAACCCAGTGTGAAATGTGTATGAACTCACTTACATGTGATCATCAGTGTGGCTGGGCTCACTGCTAGCCTGAGCTTTGCTCAGGTCCAGCGTTAACATCCCAGTATCCCATTGCTGTCGTAGTGATGCTCCATCGCAGCCATGGAGATGCGAAGCTTCATTCCTTGTTCCCTCGGAGAAACCTGGAAAACAAAGTCTGCAGCATCCACATGTTGCACTGCTATCAGCAAACCCCTTTGTACAGACCTGAAAGTGCCGTGGCTACGCCACGCTTATTTTTAGGCCAGTGACTCAGGAGAGATGCTTTAAAAAGCTGAAGCTCACTTTAAAAAGCACACAGCATCCCGTGAGTGCGCAGGATCATGCCGGGCTGTAATTACAGTGCAGCTGCCTCTAAGCACTGTGCAAATGATGGTGCAAATCTAATAAGGAAGGGGAAATGGGGGAACGGAGAGAGAAAACCTTAGTGGCCAGCCTTCTTCCTACTACGAGCTCCTTGCTGTGTGTTTTTCTTGCCAACTCCCCTGTCATCACTTGGTTTTGCAGAGGTCAAGTGCCAAGGCAGCTGGCATTGAGGCTGGGGTGCATTGCCCTATGTGAGGTGAAGGATGCTCTGATCAACCAGCAGGTTGAGGGAGGGGATTCTCCCCCTTTATTCCACTCTGGTGAGACCCCTCCCTGCAGTCCTGTGTCCAGCTCTGGGGCAACAACATAAGAAGGATGTGGAGCTGTTGTAGCAAGTCCAGAGGAGGCCATGAAGATGCTCCGAGGGCTGGAGCACCTCTGCTGTGGAGTCAGGCTGAGAGAGCTGGGCTTGTTCAGCCTGGAGAAGAGAAGGCTCCACAGAGACCTTAGAGCAGCTTCCAGTGCCTAAAGGGGCTGATAAGAAACCTGGAGGGGGGCTTTAGACAAGGGCCTGTAGGGACAGGACAAGGGGAAATGGCTTTAAACTCCTTCCAGGCCTGCCAGGAATCCCAGGACCATGCTGAGACATTTCCGTGTTGCAGACCTGGCATGACACACCAGAGAGCTGCAACGCTCCAGTTTGTAAACAACTTCTCAGCCGTTTAATCAGTAACTCAAAGCCTGAGCTCAGGTGGGGCTCCAGCTGAGAACAACCCTAACGGGTGAACTTCCACCTTTCTTTTTAATTTCATGCCCCAAAAAGAGCACTTTGGAGCAGCTCTTTGCAAACCTGGATTTGTCCCATCCATCTGTTTGCACTGCCTGGTGTTCACTCTGCAGTACCCTGTGCATTCCTGGGAAGCTGGTGAGACAAATACCTTTCCTCTTTGGGGGTTATGTGAGCTGAGTTTTCCTGGCCTCAGCCAGGTGCATGTCCAGAGAGGTGGAGAAAGCAACCCAGAGCAAACCCTCCTTCATGCCAGCCCTCCCAGCTTGCAACCCAAAAGCCACATGAAGAGGAAAGTTTTGGATCCATTTGGATCTTCCAAGACCCACATAACACATTAATTATTATTCTCAGCAGAGGGAGAACTCAAGCCTCTTCTCTTCTAGCTCAGATGACATTTTTGACGGTTTAGAGGGTTTATCCCTCTAAAAATAAAAAAGCAAATCAATACAAATCAGTATCATCCTTGCAGGGGAGAAGGGAACTATCTTGCTTGGCCCGTTGTGATTTTTACTGTTTTTTTCCAAAGCTCTCTGCTAAATTCAGCTTGGTTGGGAGGTCACATTTTTGAACTGCAGCTGCAGTTACCTGTGCTGGGAAGCTGCAGCCCAAAACCTTCATCCAGGTTTCGTGTGTGGGGGAGACAATGGTGAGTGATGAGGGGACAGAAGTGTTGCTCTAGAGGTGATGAGGAGAAAGAGATACTGCTCTAGAGATGATGGGGACACAGAGGAATTGCTCTAGAGGTGTCAAGGACACCGAGGTGTTTCTCTGGAGGTGCTGGGGTCACATAGGTGCTGCTTTGGAGATGACAGGGGAACAGAGGTACAGCTGTGGAGGTGCTGGGGACACAGAGGTGCTGCTCCAGAGGTGATGGGGACACCTCTGTTGCTCTGGAGGTGACAAGGACACAAGGTTTGGCTCAGAGGATGTGGCCTTGGGGTCCTGGTGGTGGTAGTGGCCATGCGTGGCCGGGGGGGCGCAGTGGAAAGGATACCCTTTGTCATGCTCTCTTGTTCTTTACGTTCTCTGTCTGTCTCTATCCATCTCCATCTCTCCGTTACTTTCCTTCCCTACCCTCCCTGGGGTGTCCCTGCTGTCCCCATCCCACCTTCCCTTTCCCCACCCCACGGGTGACTCTCCACGGTCTCTCCCGCAGGGAAGGGATGCTCAGCTCCTAGCACCCCAGGCGTGCTGAGGATGTCCACCATCCCCGAGGCGCTGGGTCGCCCACGGAGCAGCTCCTCCCGCAGCCTGGCTGGGACGCTGGAGGCCACCCTAGGCATGGGGACACTGGAGATGGACAAGGAGGAGATGCGCATCCTCAAGGTCTGCTTCTATAGCAACAGCTTCAACATGGGCAAGAACTTCAAGCTGGTGAAGTGCCCTGTGACAACGGAGATCCGGGTACGTGGGCAGGGGGTTGGATGGGGCAGGGAATGGGGGGCTGTTTTCTCCACCCAGCATCAGAGCTAGCTCACTTCCAAACCCTTTCCCATGGCATTGGTGGCCCCCTAAGTCCTGTGTCTGACAAGCACCAAAACCTGGAGGACAAAGGGAAAATTTGGCCATCTCTGGCAGCCATGGGGAGTCCAAAGCACCCAGCTCTGCGGCCAGCAGCACCTCTTGCTCTTCTGCGAGCCAGGGCCCAGGTCCTTCTGCCCACCCCAGTGGGACTTATGCACCCAACATCTGCCCTTTGCTTGTGCAGACATGGGGATGGGAGGACAGTGAAGGTGATATTGGTGCCTTTCCGTCACGGACATGGTGGCATTGGGCTGGAAATGTGCTCCTCTCCCTTCGTACCTGGAACCCTGTGGCATCCCAGCTGGGGGAAGATGCGTGGGCAGTGGGGACCAGTGTTGGCTCTGTGCTTGGATGCTGCTGGGATGATGTCCACCAAGGGAGATGCAACCTGCTCTAGTGGAAGATATCCCGGCCAGTGGCAGGGGCTTGGTACTAGATGAGCTTTAAGATCCCTTCCAACCCAAACCATTCTGTGATTCTATATTCAGGCTGTGGAATCTTGCAGATCAAGCAGGAGGCATCTTTGAAGGCTTCACACGGAGACTGCTGGGGCAGGTGGCTGTGCCCCAGGGCTGTGTTTTCACTCCAGGGACATTTCTGTTGCAGTGGTGCTGTGTTTCCTCCTTGTTTTCCTGCTATCCAAAGCTCCTCCGAAGCCTGGTGAGGGATGTTTTAGTCTCAGCCCTGCTCCTTTCCACCCCAGGAGGTGATCAGGTCCATCCTGGTGAGCGGCCGCATCGGGCCTGACATCAAGCTGACTGAGTGCTACGGGCTGCGGCTGAAGCACGTGAAGTCGGACGAGATCCACTGGCTACACCCAGACCTCACAGTGGGCGAGGTGCAGGAGAAGTACGAGTGCCTGCACCTGGAGGCTGAGTGGAGGTAGGACCCGTGGTGGTGGTGTCCCTCTCCATGGCCCCAAACCTGAGCCCCCTTAGAGGCAAAGCTCCTCCAGCATGGTCCTCATCAGGGGGCTCTCCTGTTGCCAGGTACGATCTCCAAATCCGCTACCTGCCAGAGGATTTCATAGAGTGCTTCAAAGAGGACAGGACCACCTTGCTCTACTTCTACCAGCAGGTCAGGGGTGGCCCTGGGGGTCTCCTAGCCCCAACCAGGTCTTCTCTTCAGCCCCCCCTGACCCACCCACCACCTCCAGGAGGGTGTTTCCTCCTCTCCAACCCAAAAAAAACAATTCCCAAGAGTCTCAAGACCTTGTAGCCCATTTACCTTCACCCACCCTCTGTGGTCCCATCCCACTTGTTAGATCTGTGCATCTCATGGACAGTTCCAGTCCCTTCACCCCATTCCTGTCCCTGCTGCATCCCAGTGCGGGATGCAGGAGGGCATGGACCCTGTGGTCATCCCTTGGGAGCCTCCCCTGCCAGTATAGCTACCAGCATCCTTTGGAAGCATCCCCTCCACTTCCTGACTCCCTCATCTCCTCGGCAGCTCCGGAGCGAGTACATGCAGAATTACGCCAGCAAGGTGAGCGAAGGCATGGCCCTGCAGCTGGGCTGCCTCGAGCTCAGGTACGTACCTTAGTGTGTCCTGGACTGTCTCCTGCAGTGGGAGGGCTGGGGAGGACACAGGAGTAGGGCTGTGGAGGGTTTTGCAGGAGAAGAGGGAGTTTCCAGATCTCTCTTTGCCATGATGTGGGGATGTGGCAGAGGGATGTGAGCACAAGGTGGGTCTCTGATGTCCCTCCCTTCTCACAGGAGATTTTATAAGGACATGCCTCAGAATGCTCTGGATAAGAAATCCAACTTCGAGTTCCTGGAGTGAGTAGGCACAGCTTGTCCTGCTGAGCAGAAACCCCCTTATCCCTAAATCCCCTACCCTATCCTGAGGGGATGAGGATCTGCAGATGGCTTTCATCGCCCTCCTGCAGCTCCTCACCCTCATGCATCTCCTCATCCTCCCACAGCCATCTGCCCTGTGCACAGAAGGGGAGATGGGAACCTTTCACCCTGGTCTATGGGGGTGATTTCTCCCTGAGAGCACCCCATTGCCCCTCAGCACCCACTTTCCTTGGTGCATCCCCCCCCAGTGCTCTGCAGACTTGGAGCAGGGGTCCCACAGGGCTGTTAATGTGCATGGGTTTCTGCTCCCCAGGAAGGAAGTGGGTCTGGACCTCTTCTTCCCCAAACAGATGCAGGAGAACCTGAAGGTGAGGACAATGGGTGGGTACATACAGGCTGGTGCATGGCTGCAGGGTGGGTGAGCATGCACAGAGCTGGCTGGGGATGCTCGTGCATACTTCAAAGTGCACACACAGATTTGCACATGTGTGTGCATCTGCCCGCACTTGTGCACACATGCAGTTGTACTCGCATATGTGACAGTGTATCTGCATGCACCCATGTGCATGTGTGTATATATGTGCATGTGTGTATACATGCACATGTGGAGCCAGGTGTGGACATCAGCCTGCATGGGTGGGATTGCACGCATATGAGTGTGTCTGCCCATACTCCTGCAGCTTTGCACACATCTGTGCACTTGCATGTATCTGCTTGTGCATTCACACACAGGGACATGTGTGCTCCTGTGTATAGGAGTGCATTTGTACAGGTGCACTGTATAGGCACTGTGCACTGTGTGTAGGAGTGCACCATGTGTGCACCTCTTTAGGCATGTCTGCTCACATGTGAAGGTGCATGTGCGTGCATGTGTATGTATACTTCTGCATGCATGCAGGCACATGTGCTCACATGTGATGGTGCACCTGTACACACATATGCATGTGTATGTACGCGTGCACACATGTGGCCATGTTTACACACACATGTGCATGTGCTCATCTGCCCACACTGTACATGTAAGGGAGCATACACACATGGAGGCAGGCTGGCCTGCACACACGTGTGGATGTGCATGGATGCAGGTTCACATCTGCAGGTAAATGCATGTGTGCATATGACTGCGTGCATGCGTGTGTGCATGTGTCCATGTGCACCCTCTGCACCCCACATCCCCACTGCGTGCCCGGCCTGTGCCCGGTGTTCCCAGTGGCCACTGTGCCCGCAGCCCAAGCAGTTCCGGAAGATGATCCAGCAGACCTTCCAGCAGTACGCACTGCTGCGGGAGGAGGAATGCATCCTCAAGTTCCTCCACACCCTCGCCAGCTTCGCCAACATTGACCAGGAGAGCTACCGCTGCGAGCTCATTGTGAGTCTGCCAGAAGGGATGGGATCAATGGAATGGGATTGAATGAAATGGGGTGGGGAGACAAAGATACCCTGCTGTGGGCTGCTCCCTGCTGTGGTCCCCACACTCGCATGGGGACTTGGGCATCCCCAACTCAGAGCATAGGGAGGCTCTGGAGACTTCCTTTGAAGGATGCTTTGAGCTGAGAGGGGCGGGGGATGCGGTGGGAGCTCTGGGGACCTTCCACATGCAGGGATCCAAGACTGTGCCTGAAGTTTACTTTGGGGTGAGCAGGTGGCAACTCAGGAGCACTGGGAACCCCTTTGGGACCAAGAGGAGGAAGAATACCTGCACTGGGCTCCTTGCCTTGTACCATCCACCATCCCCTTTCCAAACCATCCTCTCTCTAAGTCCCTCTGGGATGGTGTTTTTTTCCCAAGGTGTCTCACACATTGAGAAAGGTTTAGGGGGAAACTGGCTTTTGGTATCTTCCCACCCAGATCTGCATCCTCCCTCTGTTTCTACCCCCAGCAAGGGTGGAACATCACAGTGGACCTGGTCATTGGGCCCAAGGGCATCCGTCAGATGACGAGCAAGGAGGCTAAGGTACGGGCATGCATTGTGTGCTGTCTGGGGAGTGGGGTTGGCTGCTCTTAAACTGGATTGAAGTCAACACTGGGGCTCTGTCCCTCTCCCCAGCCCACGTGCTTGGCCGAATTCAAGCACATCAAGTCCATCAAGTGCTCCAGTGTGGAAGAGGGCCGGGCTGTGCTGCAGCTGGGGCTCAGTGGCACCCCCCAGGTGAGGAGGCATTGGGGGGTGCCCAGGGTGCTGGGATGGGGGACGCCCTGGTGCCATGGAGTGGCATCACATCCCTGTGGACCAGGCAGGACTTGGTGGATGGCTTCATTTCCACTGAGAGGAGTCCTGCCACCAACCTCGGCCGAAGAGAGACTCTCCCCCACCCCAGCATCCCCCTGCCCCAGCTCTGGGCTTACCTGTCCCCCTTCCCTACCATCTTCCCTAGTCCCTGGCTATCAAGACAGCTTCTCTGGCTGAAGCAGAGAACATGGCTGATCTCATCGATGGCTACTGCCGGCTGCAAGGGGACTTGGAAACCTCCCTCATCATCTTCCCCAGGAGAGGTGAGCACCCTGGGGGACACCGACCCTTTGTCCCCCATCCACTCTCTCCATGGCCACAGCATCAACCAGCCGAGACCCACCAAACTCACTGCATGTGTGGTTGAGGCATTACAGGGGCGTCCAGCACCCACCAGGCTGTGATGAGGGTGGCTGGGAGGTGACTGTCTGTTGTCTTCTCCACAGAACGGGAGAAGAGGATCAGCCTGCCACAGATCCCAGCCCCGTGAGTACCGCCTGGCCTGGGAGTGGGGCTTGGATCTTGTCCTGCTCCCCATCCTGCTCCCTCATCCCAACCTCCTTCCGCCCCACAGGCACCTGGAGGAGAGGCAGTCCACACTGTCAGACAGCATGAGCGTGGGTGAGTTTTCGGCTCTTCTCCTCCCTTCCCACCAGCCCAAGGGATGCAGGCAGGACTGTGGGACAATGGTGTGCAGGGATTTGGGGGTCTGGTGGAGATGGACACCCCCAGCCCTTCGCCTGGGGGTCGAGATGCAGCTGAGCATCCCAGGGGAGGGACAGGCTGTCATCCCAAAAGCCATGGTCTCTGTGAGGTGGTTGGACCCCTTTGGGATGCAAGAACCCCTCTGCCCGGTGAGCTGCCTGAATCCCTGCCTGCAACCTCCTTCTTGCCCCAGACTCTGATATTTATTGTGAAATCCCTGATGAGTCCTCAAGACCGAGGTCTGGAGGTAGGTGCCAACCCCCTGGGTACCCTTTTGCCCATCACCATCTCATCCAAGCCCTTTCACCTCCTCCTGCCCACCCTAACCTCCCAGCCCATCCCCGCCTGCACTGCCTGTCTTTGCCTGCACTGCCCACCCTACCACCATGAGGGGCTGAAGGAGCTGGGATCCCCCCATGTGCCATGGGGCAGGACCTGTGGGTCCTTGCTGAGGGGTGATGGGAGGATTGGTACCCAGGGATCACCATCATCTCCTACTTAGCATGAGGGTGGAATGGGCAAGGGTACAAGCAGCTTCCTGCATGCTGGTACTGCCACTTCTGCCCTGTTCCCCTGTCCGTGAAGTCCAGCACTACGGGATCTCCCGGGAAGATGTCACATTGGGCAGAATCCTTGGAGAAGGCTTCTTTGGAGAGGTCTATGAGGGGATCTACACCACCCCAGTGAGTGTCCTACTCTCTCCCTGCCCTGCTTGCCCCCTCCATGGCCGGGGGAATGGGGTAATGGAGCCCTTACCCCTCCTTCTCCTTGCAGAAAGGGGAACGGGTCAATGTGGCTGTGAAGACCTGCAAGAAGGACTGCAGCCCGGAGAACAAGGACAAGTTCCTGAGTGAAGCGGGTACGTTGAGGCATCCTGCCACCCTCTGTGGGGAACAGAGCCTGCTCAGATCCCCACCAGGGCTCACACAGCAGGGCAGAGGACCAATGTGATGTTTGCAGCACTGCAGTGGTGGGGTGTTAGAGACAGGATGGCAGAACCCTGCCCTGGCGTCTCCTGGTCCCTGCTTGGGGATGCAATGCAGCACAGGGCAGAAGAGATGTGGCCCATGCCCTAGCCCCTGTGACAGGGCTGTTATCCAAAATAGCTGGTTTATGGGAGGGATGGCTACAGGGACAGGGAGAAAAGTTGGATGCATCCATTACCTGGATGGAGATCCTTAGGGAGCTGGGAACCAGGAGCCCCAACCCCTTTGGGGATGTACTAGGCTATAGCTGGGACTTCCTCCTGCTCTGTCTCCAGGTTCATGGCAGAGACCTGCCCCTTCACACCAGGACAGATTTTGGGGCTTCTGAAGAGGGGAGTCCCTCCATTGCAGGGTGTCTGGTGTGGTCTCTCCACAGTGCTGATGAAGAAGCTGGACCATCCCCATATCGTGAAGCTCATTGGCATCGCGGAAGAAGAGCCCACCTGGATCATCATGGAGCTCTATCCCTATGGAGAGGTGAGCAGGGCTCTGCTCTGCTCTGCTGCTGGAAAACCATCCTGTCCCCCTGCCACCCTTCCTGCCCCTGCTCAGTCCCTGAGCCCCGTGCTTGTCCCATTGCAGCTGGGGCAATACCTGGAGCAGAACAAGCACTGCCTCGCCGTGCCCGTGCTCATCCTCTACGCGTTGCAGATCAGCAAAGCTCTGGCCTACCTGGAGGCCATTAACTGCGTGCACAGGTAAGGCAGGAGGGAAAAGGAGCTGGGACAGATACTGGCATAGGCAGGGAAAGGCAGGGGCCATGTGGGGACAGGCAGGTGGGGAGCAGGAGCAGGCAGAGGCTGAGGCTGGCAGCATCCTTTGTTGCAGACTCTTTTTGCAGCCAGGTGAGCTGATTGTCCAGGTGTGAGCTCTCCTTCTCCATCCCTTCTCCCCAGCCAAGGGTCTCTCTCCTTGCAGGGATATTGCCGTGAGGAACGTCCTGGTGGCCTCCCCAGAATGTGTGAAGCTGGGAGACTTCGGGCTCTCCAGGTACATTGAGGACGAGGAGTATTATAAAGGTAAGAGCTGTGTGATGGAGTTGGAGCTTGTTCCAGCCCTGTGAGGATAGAGCAGGGATTTCTCCAGACAGTTTAGAAATCAGTGGAGCTCCCTGCAACAGCAGGACAGGGTGGTGGGAAGGGGCTGAGGCAGAGACCATGGTGAGACCTGGCTTCCCTATCCTGCCCTCCTGCTCTGAGCATGGTCACCCTCTTGTCTCTCCCTCCAGCATCTGTCACCCGCCTCCCCATCAAGTGGATGTCCCCCGAGTCCATCAACTTCCGACGCTTCACAACAGCCAGCGACGTCTGGATGTTTGGTTTGTGGCTGGGACAGGGATGGAGTGGGATAGGGATGGAGCGAGGTCCTGGGCTTTATCCACCTCCTGTGACATTGTCTTACTGCACAGGGACAAGTCCTCCTCTGGATCTGGGGGGTTATCCCAGCCTTGCCTTTGCAGAAAGGGCTCCTGGGGCAGAGCTTCCTCCAGCTCAACCATCATTAGGTGCTTCCTCCTCCCCCAGTGAATTCAGAACGTTGTGGGGCTGAGTTAAACTCTACTCCCTGAAAATATCCATCCTGCTGCCTATCTGCCCATCCCTCAGCCTCTGGTATCTGTCCGTCTGTCCATCCCTAACAGGATGGCCAAGTAGCCAAATGACCTTGAGTCACACAACAAAGCATGGCACTGTCACCAGGTCCCCAGAAGTGCAAGCGAGGGGCTGCTGCCCTGGCTGGTAGCTTCAGCATCATTTGAGGTTGCTCATGTTGTTCCTACAGCCGTGTGCATGTGGGAGATCCTCAGCTATGGCAAGCAGCCCTTCTTCTGGCTGGAGAACAAGGATGTGATCGGGGTGCTGGAGAGGGGCGACCGCCTGCCCAAACCCGACCTCTGCCCACCCGTCCTCTACACACTCATGACACGCTGCTGGGACTACGACCCCAGTGAAAGGCCCAAGTTCAAAGATTTGGTTTGCAGCTTGAGGTGAGCAGGAAGGCAGGGAACTGATGATGGGCCATGGTTAGATGGGGAAGTGGACAAGTGGGTGAAGGTGTAAATGAAGCTGGGCAAGATTTTAAGTCTGGAGTTTTCTGGCCAAGCCTGAACTCAAAGGACTATTTGGGAACATTTGAGCCCACCTGCATTGGGGGCTGGTCGTGGTGCCTGGCCTGAAATGGAAACACTTTGCTTCCCAGGGAGGGGACTTGCAGGGGAGTCCTGACCCCACATGCCATAGGGGCCAGCCAGTGTTGCTGGTGTGGCTGGGCCGGGCCCAGACACATCCTCCCCCGCCTTTTCCCAGTGTTGCTGGTGTGGCTGGCCAGGACCAAGCTACATCCTCCCAGTCCTTTCCCTTCACTCTTCCCATCCCTCCTTGCTCCCTCATGTTTTCCATGGCCCATCCATCTCAAGCATCCCCATTCTCTGGGGTATGGGACATGTGGCGAAGCACCCTCTGGGTTCTGTCTCCCTTCATCTTGCTCTGTGCAGTGACATTTACTTGATGGAGAAGGAGCTGGCCAAGGAGCAGGAGAGGAACAACCGCCACAGGCCTCCCAAAATCATGGAGCCACCATCCTTCCAGGAGCCACCTCCGAAGGTGAGGGCAGAGCCCATGCAGGCAGGTTCATCTCCCTGCCTTGACTGCTGGTGGGTGCTGCAGAAGAGGGACCTCCTTGGGCTCGCGCCCACCACGCATTTCTCCCTCCTCTGCTCCCCACAGCCCAGCAGACCCAGGTACAAGCCACCACCCCAGAGCAATCTCCTGGCTCCCAAGTTGCAGTTCCAGGTAAGGTGTCATGGCCAAAGCATCCTGCTGGGACTTGACAAGGGGGTTAATGCCAGAAAACCCTGCCTGGATATCAAGGCCTCAGGGGCTCATGGCTTTGGGGGATCCAAGGTACTCTGCACCACCACCAGGTGCCTCCTGCCACCTTGCCAGCAGGACACTGCACTGCTCAGGGCTCAGCCCTGCCCTGCGTGACCCTTGTTTTGTCCACCCCTTGAAACTGAAAGAGACGCTTTCACCCCAGGGAAGGGGGGTTTGCAGGCTTAGCATCGGCCTGTTTGCACATAGGGCTGTGAAGAGAGGAGGTTTGCTGCTCTCTAGTGTTACCTGGGCTGAGTCTGGCCTCTGCAAGGGCCACTGCTGGTCCCTGGAGCATTAGGGTGAAGCCCTCAAGAGGGAGTCCAGAGAAGGGCAATGAAGATGCTCCAAGGTTGGAGCACCTCTGTTATGGAGACAGGCTGAGAGAGCTGAGCTTCTTCTGCCTGGAGAAGAGAAGGCTTCAGGGAGACTATTAGAGCAGCTTCCAGTGCCTAAAGGGGCTCACAAGAAATCTGAAGAGGGGCTTTTGACAAGGGCCTGTAGGGACAGGACAAGGGGGAATGGCTTTAACCTGACAGAGGGGAGATTGAGATGAGATCTCAGGAAGAAGTTCTTCCCTGTGAGGGTGCTGAGGTGCTGGCACAGGTTGTCCAGAGAAGCTGTGGCTGCCCCATCCCCGGCAGTGGTCAAGGC